ATGTTGTATTTTTGTGTATGTAATATTTCAAAGCATTATTTCAAAATATACGCTTCAAAGCCTAAAATTCATATCAAAAGTTTGTTCGATAGTTAAACTACATATTAAATATTTTAACGTACATACGATACAATTTGATTGGCCAATAATCAGCTATTGCCAATCAAAATTTGCATTATAAGGTTATACGAAATCATGTGAGCTATAATCGTATAAATTTGTACAGTATTAATTTGTTTTATCAACTATATTTGCATTAATTTGGATTAATTTATATACAAATTTTTCCGTGTCTCTGATCTGGGATAATCAAATTTTACGTTCTCCGACTGGCTAATTTCCCACAAATAAGTATCAATAGGCGAAATTTCTAAAAAAAAGAGTAACTCTGTGGGCTTTATCTAAAACTATAAAATTACGCTTTCATTTTTGCAAATTTCAAGAAGTTATAATTATTTTATATTTTTTTATATTCATTGTGGAGAAACTTGTTTCATTTGGATCGACGATCGACGATTTTCGCTCAATTTTTTTTTTTTTTTGAACATATGGGTAATTATTTTTGAACCCGGACCAATTTTATATGCATCGATATGACATAAATAATAACATTTTGGCCTGGATTCCAAAATAATTACCCATATGGGTAATTATTTTTGAATTCAGACCAAAATGTTATTACGTCATATATAAAATTGGTCCGGTGTCACCATCGGTTTTGGGAGAGCATCGTGTGTAGACACCAATGGTGAACTGGGATGTGTAGGATTTTGGGTCATGGTCACACTTTTATGGTTAGCACTTGGGATCAGGATGAAACTCAAGATTCTGGTAGAAATTACGTATTCATGATAAACGAGCATTTAGGCAGGCAATTTTATTAATAGGGACGATTTATGAGAATTCTCTTTATTAGGGGAAGGGTACAAAGGGCTTACATCTTCTCTACTCTAACATCGAGGGAGGGATTAACATTTATATATATTTGCAAGTATCTGAAGAAATATCGTATAACCTAGTGGCGCCTTTCTCAATGACATTGTCCTCCAACAACACTAACTGCCACCCGGCTATTAACTCGTCAGATTATGGTACGTAACAACGAAACTAAGCAATAAATGGCTAAATCTAGTAATTATTACATGGAAACCTATAAATACAGACTAACATTTCTAACAAAGTACAAGGCCGATTTACACGAATGTTACAAATTGATCGTAACACCGGGTTCAAAAATAATTACCCATGTCAAAAAAAAAATTAAAACCAATTGGATTGTGACATACCAATTATTCATATATTTCCCTTTTATTGATAAATATGTTTCACAAAATACGATGAAGGTGGCCTTCTATGTTGTTATTCACGGACTCAATGGAACTCAAAAAAAATTACGATCATCGATCCAATTAAATCGAAAAGAGCGATAATAGGCAATAATTGATTGGGCCGGAGCGGAGAGAAAGACTTTAGATCTAGGGTTGAAAATTACATTTTACAATTGTAATTTGCCTAAGTTTCAGTTACATGGATTTCATGTAAATTTTACACGTGATATAAAGTACCAGCATAACGAAAAACTTAGCTAGCATTATCGAAATACAGTAAACTTTGCATAATCACATGAAATTATATGAAAGTATGATTACATTTTTACTTCAGGAGCATGACAGACAATCTAAATTTGGAAATGATGTTCGGTGGCTTAGCCTAACTTAAAAAAATTTTTTATACAGCTTTAGATTACGAAACTTTCTCGTGATTACTCAGAACCTATCAATTAAACCGGTTCAAAAAAAAAAAGAAACCAAAAGATCGTAGAGTGGTCTATATACTGTTAAAATTAATCAAAATAATCACAGTATTTCGTCTTTTAGCTCAGAGAACAGTTTCTTAAGAAATAGAAGGTGCTTCAAGTCAAGATTCCACCAAACACTGCATAGTTGAAGTTTGTAAGGGAGGAATAGTGACTGGATGGAGAAAGATAACTGATAATGTACTCAGTAAAGCAGAAACAAATGGAACCCTGGCTTTATATTATGTAGATCGCAAAGGCAAGTATATGTGTATAAACTGTTATAACGGGATTGTAGTGAATGGAAGTGATATTTTTAAAAATCATGCATTAGAATGGGAAAGAGGATTAAAAAAACATAGAAAGAATGGCAATCTTTCTATATCTGAAAGTATTACATTAATAGCTAATTTTATTTTTCAGAGAAACATTGTAGAAGGGAATCAACCTTTCGTTGAATTTTTACAACTTAGGTATATTATTAAAGAGAAAGATAAACAGCTAATATTATTTTTCGATGAAATTGAAGCTGGAGCCAATGTGGAAAAAAAGAGCGATGACGAAAAAAAAGAACTTAATCAATCCCTAGCATATCAATGTTACTTGATGTGTTGAAATCGAAATAGGGGTATACCACTCTGAGATCTAAAAAACGAACAAGTGGAAGGTGAAAAGTTTACTTGGGTAGATGGTGTGGTTGTACTGACGAATTTGCTTTATGATAGAGAAAAAAAGAAAATTTGTCACCAATTTACAGTTTTCAAGAGTTGTGAAAGGAAATAGAAAACAAGGATCATTGGCTAAGTATTTTTTTTAATTCTATTTATAATACCACAAATCCGGTTGAAAGAAGTGATGAGTACTTAAAAAAGCTAGACAAACGTCTAGCTTTTGAGTGTTATCTTATTTGTGGTAATCATAATTCAAAATTAACTACATTTAAAACAGAGATGTCAATATTTTTGAACTCTATAGGAACATCTCACAAAGCAATTGATGTATTTGTGAATGCTGGAATTACGATTACATCTCGTCATATGGATCGAAAAAAAGCTGATATTGCAGAATTACATGATGATCAAGTGGACAAGTATCTTAATAAGAATATGAAGAAGGCTATGATACTTAACATCGATGATTATCATAATATTCATGCTAGGCGAACACCGGATACTTGCTCAACATCAGCAACATCCCACATGACAACTATTTTGCTAAATTCAATTGAAGCTGATGCTATTCCGATTTATGGGTCAAATGGCATTTCAATTCACAATTCTTCACTAATAGATTTTAATATTATTTTAAAATATTTAGATCAAAAATATATAAAGCGTATGGTATTTACTTTTAATGAAATTTTTTCTTGCAGAATTCTATTTGATACAAGGTTAGAAGCACTATCTTTACATTCGTACGATGACCGAATCAAGGCTCGGGAAGAAGAACGTAAAATGAAGGACTGTATCCTGTTTGATTTTTATAAGCAAGAGCTCAAGTCTGTAGACGCGTATGTTAATACTTTGGAAAGAGTGAATAGCATTAACATGTTAAAGTTCTACTTGAATAATCATGTTATGCCTGTGGTAGCAGATTGGCCTAGGCAAATATTTATAAGAAAAGTGATTAGTTTTCGCTTACGGGACCCGAATAATTCAAATATTCCGGGTATATTTTAATTTTAGAATATAATTATTATTAATTTATTTAAAGTAATATTTAACAAATATTGTATTATTAATTGTTTAAATATTAGATATAGTATTGTCTTTTATACCAGTAATTGGTACATTATACGTGCAACTTAACTTGGTCGGTACTATACTAACAAATTTTTGGAGTTTTTTCAATATGGAATACAAATATTTGTTTTGTGCTTCTAGGATCTTTCACAAACTCCGAGTCTATATCGTGTATTTCTTCTTATGGACTTGGCAAGAAATGCATAGAAAAATATCAAGCCAACCGTAGTTAATAAGTTTGGAAAGTGCTGTAAAGATTTGGAATACTTGTTTCTTTTTGACTTGCTGGACAACACTATCCCGTTAGGAATAGATATTTACTCGGTTTTCTTTTGGTCAGGCGAATAGGAGTCATACTTGGAGGGTATTTTCTGGACGTGGGTTCTTTTTTTGCAATTTGATAGGCACAACTATAACAAAGCGTCATTAATATTTCTTTCAGATGTATTTTATTGAATAGAAAATAATCATCCAATACTAAATGTACTAATCGAACACTTAGTTAAATTTTCAGATTATCCCATCGAAAATATGCATAGTATTATTCGAAGACAATCCTCTCTATTGGATTTGGCTACACAACTTTCGAAGAAGGCAAAAATAGCCAATATAAAAAAGGCTATAGAAACCTTTAAGGAAGTTTTTGTTACTAAACAAAATGATGTCAATTCTAATAAAGATCGTCTATTACTACTTACAACTAAGACTAAAGTTTTTTTACTTCAAACATTTGAAAAGGTTTATAGGAATCTTAGAAAAAGCAAAAGCATCCAGATGGCCAAAGAAGAATATTGATTTCGTCTTGCAGGTTTGAACATTGTGGCAAACAAGAAACAAATACTATTAGAGTTTAGTAGTAATCATATACTATCAAGAGATGAATGCGACTATTGCGGCATGCTTTTAAATATTTCAATTCAGAACCCTATCATACTTACATGTGGCCATGAATATCATGAACATTGTCTTAATATGTTTTTTCAAAAATGTTTTTATTGTCAAATTTTTCTTGAACAAGGCGTTCAACTAAACATTTCTTCTTTAATCACACGACTAACAAAACAGGACATCAAGGATCTTGTAGAAGGTGATCAAGAATCTAAAGGTCAAAAGAAGACAAAAGATACTGATATAAAAAATTTGTCTTCAGAAGATGATATCCTTACACAGTTGGAAAAGGATAGAAGCGTATTAAATAGGGTCAAAGAGGCTTGTAATATAGCTTTGGATAAATTTTTAAAAGCCTAATTATATTTAATGTATTTTTAATATATCAACAAA